GGGCCCACCGAAATGCAACTTTTACTGTGATGAGCGGTCCAAATCGGACACCGCAGATTGGACACCGCATGCATCTCTACATGTCGTGTCCGTATGAAATAATTTTTCCCACGGCAATTTGCGGTACCGTATCAGAGGTCAATCGGACACCGCATACATCTCTACATGTCGTGTCCGTATGGAATAATTTTTCCCTGCACCAGTCCAAGTTGCAATTTCCCACGGCAATTTGCGGTACCGTATCAGAGGTCACAGAAACGTCCCGGCAGGAAGTTCCTGTGTCACTCTTATCTGCATGACCTTCAAAACTAGAAATACCATTATTAAAGCCATCAAAATACAAATATGGTTAACCAATATCTTAGAGTATCATAAGGAGCTAGTATATCTAAAGAAATTGGATCAACGATCTTGTTTGGTGCTAAGGTGTGGACACCATATTTGAGCTGAGAAAACATAGCGAAGGCTATGATTCCACAGCAAGACCAAAAGTTGGTTCAAATTATTGTATATAAACCAGGTCAGAAAAATAAGGAATGATAATTAAGATGTTTGTAAGGTAAGTTATGACCATTTGAGTGTTCTCCTTATTGCTAAAACCAATAAAATATGATCTCTAAAATTCTTGATGAGCCATGAAGCATGCTATAAAGTTGTGACCAAAAATTTTGTGAGACGAACAATATAAAGTGATGACAAAAAAATAATGAAAAGCGAAAGTGAGACATACAAAAAAAATGAGAAAGAGAAAGACAAAGTAAGATAGAGAGAAAGAGAGAGTGATTGAGGCAGAGGAACGTCATGAAATTCCACAACTTTAATTTTTCATTGTTTTTAATAGCCATTTACTTTTTTATAATAATTTTCATTATTATTACATTCAAACCTTCTTCCTCCACCTCCTTTCACTACTTTAGCTAGTCAATTACAACAAAATATTAAAGAGACAGAGAAACAGAGAGTAAAAATCAAAAAATATATATATAAATAAATTCCATTAAAAAAATAAAATTTTAAAAAACTTTGATTTTTTAATTTGAATTTAAATTCTAAATTCAAATCAATTTTCTGTATTGGTTGCAAATATCTTACCCTTTTAAGCAATCAATATATCGTATCCACCATGTTTCCATCAATAATACATAATTCTCTCCACACCCTCCAATTAATTCTATAACAAATCTCCCAACTTATTTATTGTTTAAATGTCAAAATGAAATTTAAAAAGAAGTTTTCATCTTAATCTCATTCCAATTTTCTTCAAAAATTTTCCCCTACTGCCTTAAAGATTGGGTGTGACCGTGATACAAAGATTTCTCATAATCAATTTGAATTTATGTAGGGCATGTCTACTATGGAAGCTATACATTTATTGAGAGGCTTGATGAAGAATTACAGAGAAAATAAGGAGGATCTACATATGATTTTTATTGATTTAGAAAAAGCTTACGATAAAGTTCCAAGAGAAGTCCCTTTGTTCCAAGAGAAGTCCTTTGGAGAGTTTTAGAGAAAAAATGTGTTGATATGACTACTATTCAATTCATTAAAGATATGCAAAAGAGTTGTTACTTATATTCGAACAGAAGGAAGATTGGCCAAGTATTTTCTTATTTCAGTTGGATTACATCAGGGATCGACTTTAAGCCCATATCTTTTTGCTTTAGTAATGGATGCTCCTACTGGACATTTACAGGAGGATGTACTTCAGTGTATGTTTTTCGTTGATGATATCCTTCGTGTGGATAAAACAAGAGAAAGAGTTCGGGAAAAACTTGAATTATGGAAGCCTACATTGCAGTCTAAAGGTCTTCGTATGAGTAGAACTAAAACTGAATACATGGAATGCAATTTTAGTGGTAGTAGCTCTAGTGGTAGGGTTGTGACTATGGATAATCAAATTACTAAAAGGTGTGAAGATATCTCGGGTCTATTGTTTAGAGTGATGGTGATATAGATGGGGATGTTATTAGTAGAACTCGAGTTGGTTGAAGTGCGGGAATGCTTCAAACCTATTAAGATAAAAAAATACCACTTAAACTGAAAAGAAAATTTTACAAGATAGTGGTGATACCTGCAATGCTCTATGACTAGTGCAGCCAAAACGGCTCGTTGTTTGTGAACAGCTCGTGTTCGACTCATTCGCTAAGTTAACGAGCCGAACACGAACAACATGAACAAATATTAGTCCGTTCGTGTTCGGCTCGTTTTGGTTCAAAATACTACTAATCAATTATATATATATATATATATCTTTGCTGAGTAGTATTTTTAAAAAAATTAATTCACTACAAGGCTACAAATATTTATAATCAATTAAAAGTATTAATTAAGAAAATAGAATAAAAATTATTAATTTAGATTCAAATGATGTTTTAAATCTTGCCCCAACATCCTATGGCTAAGTGATTAGGGTTGTCAAAATGATTCTTTGTTCATGAACGACTCGTGTTCAGCTCGCTAGCAAACAAGTCGAACACGAACAAACTTTTTGAGCTCGAAATATAAACAAGTCGAACACGAGCTAAGCCTGGGCTCGCTCGTGTTCGTCTCGTTTACACCCCTATCTATGACACAAAATGTTGGCCTTTTAAAGGGAAGCATAAAACAAAGTTAATTGTTGCTGAGATGAGAATGCTTAGGTGGATGAGTGGCTTGACACTTAGAGACAAAATGTGAGATGAATATATCTGTGATAGGGTTGGTGTAACTCCAATAGCGCGCAAGATTAGAGAGAGTCGTCTTAGATGGTTTGGTCACATTAAATGTAGACCATATAATGATCTGATTAGTAGAGTAGATGTTTTAGCTTCGACTGATATTAAGAAAGGTAGAGGTAGACCTAAAGAGGCTTGGGCATTGTATAAAAAATGATTTTATTTTATTAGAATTAAATGAAAACAATAGGACGCAATGGAGAAAAAGGATTCATGTAGCCAACCCCACTTAGTGGGTTAAAGGCTTGTTGTTGTCGTCGTACCTAGACCCAATCAAACACAAAGAACCTATTTGGATTTACCCAGCATGATTGACCTAACATAACCCAATTAGATTAATCTACCCTACCCATATGTCCAAGTGAACAAACAGAAAGTCAGCTTTGGTCATCCAATGCTTCAATTAGATTGGATCTGCCTAGTAGTGTGCATAAAGACCTCATAGTTTCTAGAGTTGACTTTTCAGAGTTTCAGTATCCTTCTTATGATGTTTTTGTTGATGGCGCTATTCTTCCCACTGGTCAACTTTTCTTAGATAAACATTTTTACCATTCATCGCCTCTGCTTCACAATAGTCACTTTCATCCATAGGATGGATTTTGCAAGTTTTTAAGCAAAATTGAAGACATCCAATTTTCTAAACTCTCCATAATAGATTTCTTCATAGCCAATGTCAATTCTAGTAGTGCAAGTCCTACTTCCTTAGTCATGAGTTTGAGTTTTCAATATTTATTAATGTACATTTATCGACTTTGTCATTAAATTGGAAGTAACTGTTTAAAATCATTTGTCTTTTAGAACTGGTTTTATTTTTTATTTTTTTTCCTTTCTCTATTCAAGAAAAATTTATCATTCTGAATAAAGCTTATTAGTATAAATAATGCCTAGGACCATGTACTTAGATAGTTGATGATGGGATCAAGAAGTAGAATTTTTTTTGCACACTCTCTGTAGATTAATTCTTCCTCCTTTCAAAGTCAGAAGGCTCTTCTTCCTATTTCTATCTACCTGTTGCCTCCTTCCACTTGAGATATTCATTTATCTCTTCTTTTCAATCTTTCTTTCTTTTCACCTCCCCAATCTATTCTCAACAATCAAGATTTCCATGAACATCAAAATCTTTGTTTTGTTGCCTAGCTCATCATCACATTGTAATATGTGAAACAGTTGATGAAGAAAAAGATAATTGTCATGCAGGACAAGGATTACTCTCATGTGAAGACAAATTAACCCAGCAATAGAATACGAGCATTTTTCATGGCGTACTATGGTTCTATTAAGAAAATCTATTAAGGAGAAATGTGTGACATGCGATGACATTGCAGGCTATTGAATAAAATAGAAATAAGACTTCAATACTGAAGCTAATGGCAGATAATTAAACCTAATTAAATTATTTTTCAAATTCTTATAAATTATTCAGGGGCTTTTCTGAACTCCTAAAAGTAGAGTTTTTTTTATTTATTTTCTTTTTATTTAAGAGTAAAAGGAAGTGTCCTAGAAAATTTCCATTAGCTTCAAGTAACATTGAAGTCTTGCTCTCCACTGTACTTATATACTCCCCTCAGTTCCTTATGCTAGATTTACAATATCTAAATCATAGCCAAAAACTGTTAATAAGACTTCAATACTGAAGCTAATGGCAGATAATTAAACCTAATTAAATTATTTTTCAAATTCTTATAAATTATTCAGGGGCTTTTCTGAACTCCTAAAAGTAGAGTTTTTTTTATTTATTTTCTTTTTATTTAAGAGTAAAAGGAAGTGTCCTAGAAAATTTCCATTAGCTTCAAGTAACATTGAAGTCTTGCTCTCCACTGTACTTATATACTCCCCTCAGTTCCTTATGTTAGATTTACAATATCTAAATCATAGCCAAAAACTGTTAAATTGTTAGAAAAAAATCTCCTGAATCTTCAAATATTAATTCTTTTGAAAAAGGTTTCCAAAATGCTGGAAATTATCTTAATGGCCTCCCATAAAGTCTTACATCACCCAGAATGTTATGCAAAAAATTAGAACACCGTATTAAAATAAAGTTGTAAAACAAGGTGCGAGTCACAGCATTGGAATTGAATATAATAAGCATAAGAGAATAATTATCTAATAGGCCAACAAGAAAGAAGATTACCATGTACATGGCTATGAATCCACAATTCCACAAATTTTCTAAAAGAAAAATATTATTTGACACGTGCTATGCATCTATTTAGTTATACTAAGTTACCAAGGTCACAATGAAAGATTTATTGAGATTTTTCTGTGGCCAAAGGCTTAGAGAATCACCCTATCCATTGCACTGTACTCTTCAGAAGGTACCTGAAAACCTGCAAATAGATGGAGAATTTATATATTATTTTGCAGGCAAAAAAAAATTTTCAGGAAGATTTACATGCACACAACTCAATTCCTATATATTTACATATTAACACCTAAACTTCAATTTCTACATGCATGCCGCCGAATCCATGCATGATAAGGTGTATTTCACTTTTCAAAAGCTATAATAGTGGTATTTTTTATGTGATATGAAAGATTTGGGTGTTATAAATATAAAAAATAAAATTTAGCTGTTAGATAAGTAAATGCATAAGATTTGGATGGTATGTATGTAAATGCCTCAAACTTTTAAGACAAAACCTAAAATATTAAACTTCTGAGGCTAATCTCAGCACAAAATGTAAAGCCAAATCTTTTCTCAGAAGACTCGTCAACAGAAAAATTGTTTTGCAGAATGTTTTATTCAACAAAAAATAAATTAATTAAAATACAGCATATTAACTTTAAAAAAATACCATGGGAAATCATTCGGTACAGGGTTATAGAGCTTATCTGAGGATTGCATCGAGGAAACTTCATAAGCTATGGAGACAGTCATACTGATTCCCAATCTGCTAGCCAGATCCATGACTTCCTTCTGTGCACCAATTGGATCCACTTCAAGTCAAAGAATTTCAAACATGAACTAAGTGCATCAGAAAAATTTGACATTCCAACTTAGCAATGTTTGAATTAGAGAAGACTTAGACCTGCACCCATGTTTGTAATGATGCAAACTCGTTTCACAACAGCTTGAGGTATAATTAGAGACATCCACTCCAAAACTACATTTTCATAGAAATAGAGGATCAAACTGTATAACAGAGATGAAACAGTTAACAAAATAAAAAGAAATTATGCAATTTATTTACCTTCTACACGGCAATTTGTCTATGCACTACTCAGTTAATGGAATTTTCAATTTCTCTCAAAATAATTTAAGTCAAGCTTCATGTTAAATTTCTAAAAGTACCTTCACAATGACAAGTCGAGCCCTCAAATTTGGACTCCTTTGCAACAATATATACAATGCAAGCGAGTGAAGTCCTTTTTAAGTGGCAAGTCTAGAGATGGTAACTCTCATGAAGACAAATAAGGTTAGTCCATCCAAGGTGATGACTTGTCCCAAAATATGTCAAGGCAAAAGGATGAATAAGAATTAACACCAATATCTCATACTCACTTTATTTTTTTATTCTGTAAACCGAAATTCAATTAACTAGACAATTTAATTAATTTGCCACTATCCCTTCAATAATTTTATTAACACTTCAAATCTATCAATATGATAAATTTGATAAGTGCTAATTCAGCATAGATGTTCAATTTAGTTCTCAAGTTTTAAAATGCTCAAATTTAGTCCCCAACTATTAAAAATTATATAGAATTGGTCCTAAATAAAATTTTCCATTGAATTAATAGTTCCCTTCACATTTTGAAGTGTAATTTCATCGATTTACAAAATTCATGAAATAAACACACGAAAGGCTCGTCAATTATCACTAGATGATTCATACACAAAACAATCTCACCATAAACTTAAATCTTTGCTGCTCCACTCGTGTGGTTTCTCCCTTTTGTTTCACCATCGACGAAGCAAGCGACTCGAGGCGCATACTCATTCGATGCTTCTCCACTCGACGACGCAGTCTCCGTCCCCATCTATCTACGTCTCCATTTGTGTTGCTTGCGTCGACGACAAGGCTTCGTCTCCATCCGAGCGCAAATTCTTCCCTTTCGTTTTACCATTAACGAAGCAAGTAACCTAAGGAGAGTACTCATTTGTTGATTCTCCACTCAACGAAGCAGCCTCTGTATCTGTCTCCATCCGCGGTGCTTGCGTTAAAACATGGGTTCGTCTCAATCCGAGCGCTTGTGCATCCCCCCACCATCGTTCATTGCAAAGAGATATGGCTTCAATTTGCGTCGTTTCAACCCGGAGAAGCTGCGACTCCAGTTTGGTAAATACGACATTGTAAGTTTGCGAAGAGGAGTAATTCGTCGAAGAAGAAAAATCTAATATATGTGGGAAAATAAATTATTTAATCCGATTCAAAAGCAAAAAATGGAGGAAAATTGGGATTTCAGATTTTGTATTGTTTGCTTTTAATCGTATTTGAGCAATATTTAGTAGGTTTAGGCAAGATTTAGCTAAATCCAGCCAAACAATATATACAGTAATTTTTATGCTAGATATGCTTATAGATAATTACATAAAAGATGAAAATATCCTTCAATTCATGTAGGTAACCGTTAAATTGAATGAAAAATATGATTTATAACTAATTTGGAGCAACTTGTAATAGTCTAGGACTAAATTGGAGCATCCAAAAACTTTGGGACTAAATTGGTTATTTTGGGTTTTTACTCATTTGGCATATCATATATTACAAGTCTTCAAAGCTCACTTGCTTACTTCTAAAATTTTATTGAGTTCTAATTGCTCAGATTATGGGAAATGGTCATAAGAAAAGATGAGAAATTACATTTTCCCCGAAGGAACTTAATTAAAAGCAATGAAATTAGAAAGTGTTCAAGAAACATCTTTTGAGGAATTCCAGCTACTCTCTTTCTCTGAGTTCCTCTTAGCTCACTCCTTGTCGCTTAGAATATTCAATGCATTAAAATAGAAGAAGCATGAATCTCGCCACAGATGGTTATTCACTACATCATTCTTAAGTAAATCTAAGTAGAAGATGATTCCCTCTCAACACTTATTTATCACATATTTATATTCATCAAAATCACCAAATAATGGCACATTAGAAGCTTGCAAAGCTGACCCGGCCTTGTCTTCGTATAACTTCTTGAAGGAACCCTTTAACTCGACTATTTGGGCATATAGTAGTAGTAATCAAGCTAGTTATTTCCTTAGGATCTAATACTAGGTGATACCGGATGAAAGAGACCCAACCCACAAGAACAACTTTTATTAATAGGGAAATAGGGTTACACCAAACACGAACTAAAAATAGCATCACCAACACATAAAACAACACAACAAACACCTTGAGAATGCATCCCAATGGCGATGGAGTTTGCTAGGTGGATCAGGATGACTAGCTAGTAGCCAGGGTGGCGGCAGCGGAGGCGAAGTGAGAAAACTGCACGAACAGCCAGAGAGTTGGTTGTCCTGTGCAGCTACAGCAAGAAATTGGGGCAGAAATGGCAGGAGCAGCAACAGTTAGTTGTCCCGAGGCGACGGCAGCAAGGATGGGTGGGTCAGCAGCAATGTAGCAAAGATTCAGGCGGTTTGGGGTGGCGGGAAGGTGTTGGACAGCAAGGTAGACTGCTTGGAATAGGAACAAGGAAGATACCATCTCCACCAATGAGAGGAATACAAACGGAGTTCCATCCTAACCATCGGATACAGCCCTCGAGGGGGAAGAAGACTCCACATAGGAAATCTAAAAGAAGACTACACAAAAATTCTGAAACCTTGGACAGCCAATATACATATAAATAGGGGATAGATAAAATAGGAAGGATTTCCCTCATGGCAAGGTTCGAATAGGAAAAGGAGGGAAGTTGGGGCGGGAGAGGCAATTCCAAGGCCTCGAAATAAAAAGACGAGTGAAGCAAGGGCAGGATTGGTACGAGCTCGAAAGATGAATCCCGCTCTAATGAGCGGGAGCAGGGACCGGTCCAATCGGCCCCTGTCCAGACCGGTCCAGCCGCAAAGGGATGCAGAAGTTCCCGCGTCAGTAGCGGAAAGGGGAAGAAGGGACACCCCGCGTCAATCTCCGGAGGTTAGAGGAGCTACGACTTCATCTGTTGAAGCTTTTTGTTCTCGTCGGCCCTTCCTGGATCCCAGTGACGACTACACTGGTTCCCAAAGCATCTCAGGAGCTTTTCCCACTTGCGAGCATACCTCCCTATTGATCTGTTCTGGTTTGGCATAATCTGAGCCGAAGGTACACATCGACGTAGGTTCTCATGAGCCAAATTCCGAACAAGTAAATATCTCATATGCTTCTCATCTATAACAAGTTGGGCCTCAGCGGGTTTAAGGGCTTGCAAGAGGTTTGTTGATGAGCGATTCTTATTATCTTCTAAGTTTTCCCTCTGACTCTTGATGTCTTGGAAAACGGACATCTACTGTTGTGTTCCAATAACAAGAGCTTCACACTAGTCTTTCGTCTCTTCATGTAGAAGACTAGGTGAGGGCTGGAAATGTAACTGCCTGTTATGCCATTAGTTGGTCGTTACTGAAGCTGTCCATTGAAAGTTTAAATTCTGGCATCTTCTGATTTGTGTGACCTTTGTAGATCTCAACATGAAGTTATTCATCTTTTAGGAGGGCAGAACCACAATCTCATCAAAAGTCGCATGTTCTCATTGATTACATGGAGGAAAGACATTGGATGTATCCATAACAAAGGAGGTCCATGAGGGAAGATGTTATCAGATGAAAATTCTCGTTCGAACTACACTTTATCTACGGTGGGATTACCCAACTTTTCGACTGCTCGGTGAAGTATATTACTCCCCTGGTTGTGCATTCTGTCTCCACATGTCCAAATCCGTGGCACTTGCAACATTTTTTTGTTGTGACATATTGCGCATTGGCTTTGTTGGATAGTAGCAAGGGGGTAGCCTAGTGTTAAGGTCTCTCCACTTCAAACACTAGAGTCTGCAACTTTTTGCGATAATAAGTTTGTAGAAATTGGCGCTGCGTTTTCTGCTTCGCCTTCATATCTTTTCTTTCAATCCTTCAACCTTTTGGATCACGGTCGAGGAGAACTTCCCATTGCATCTCGTCTTCCGGTCTGTAATCCACCGTCAAAGTCCGCGTATCTCTCGCCGCATCTCCTGGGAAGCCTCGAGCATGTACCTCAATGGTGGCATGGCTATGTTTTAGGAATAGGAAGAAAATTTTTTGTGGAGAAATTTTAGGGAAATAGGAAGAGCTGGTTGAGGGTAGGAATGAAAAATTTTGGTTGGAGTGTAAAGCGGGCGCTAAGAAACCCTAGGATTGGACTAGGGTTGGGCTAGCTCTAATACCAAATGATACAGGAGAAAAGAAACCCAAAACACAATAACAACTTTTACTAATAGGGAAATAGGGTTGCAACACACACAAACTAAAAATAACATCACCAACACATAAAACGACACAGCATACACCTCGAGAGTACATCTCAAGGATGGTGGAGGCTGCTAGGTGGATCCAAATGATTAGCGGGGTTGGCGTCGACGAAGTTGAGGTGCGAAAGCTGCAGGAACAACTAGAGGGCTAGCTGTCCTACACAGTTTCAGCAAGGGATTGGGGCATAAACGACAGGAGCAGCAAAGGTTAGCTGTCTCGGAGCGGCAGCAGCAAGAATGGGTGGGTCGGCAACGATGTAGCAAAGATGCAGGTGGTTTGGGGTGGTGGGAAGGTGTTGGACAAAAAGGTAGACTACTGGAAACAGGAACAAGGAAGATACAATCACCATCGAGGAGAGGAATATAGCCGGAGCTCCACCATAATCGTCGGATCCAGCCCTCTAGGGCGAAGAATACTCCACACAGGAAATCTGAAAGAAGACTACACAAAAACTCTGAAACCTTGGGCAGCCAATATACATATAAATAGGGGATAGATAAAATAGGAAGAATTTCCCTCATGGCAAGGTTCGAGTAGGAAGAGGAGGGAAGTTGGGGCGGAAGTGATAGTTCCAAGCCTCGAAATAGAAAGAGGAGCGAAGCAGGGCGGGATTTGCAAGGTGTTGGACAGCAAGGTAGATTGCTGGACAACAAGGTAGACTGCTGGAAACAGGATTAAGGAAGATACAATCACCAC